TCATTCAGAGCAGTAAAAAATGAATCCTAGTCCTATGTAATCAGAGCACACTTTATAATTAATGCCCGGAAAAAAGGTTAATGCGTAGATCGTCAAGCATTTATGCATCTACTGATAAACTGGATAACCTAAAAAAAATTTATCGAAAAAATCTTTTTTTGTTTTATGAAAGTAATAAATTATCATTTTCCCATAAGAATTAAATTGTAAAACAAAGATAAAAATTAAATTTTTCACTTAATTAAAATTAATCAATAATTCATTATAGAACTTACCAAGAATATAAATGAAGACATGTAATGTGTTACTTGGATTAACTTTCATTGAATTTAAATTTTTTCGTCGTGTTGCTGTTAATACATTAATAATCATTATAATAACACTGCTAAAATAACAATTATTTCATTAATTTCAATTTAACAAATTATTTTTTGAAATTTAAATTTAAATGAAATAAAATTTAAACTAAGATGTATTTATTTATTCGTATATTTATTTGATAGCTTTATAAATGATATTCGCCAATTTACATAAATTTACCTATTTCATTAAAATGTTAATTACACATACATAATACCTATTTCATTAAAATGTTAATTACACAATAGATAGACCTATTTCATTAAAATGACATGAATGTTGTCATTATACCTATTTCATTAAAAGTACCTGTTTTATTAAATTGTTAATTACATATATATAATACCTATTTCATTAAAATGATAATTACACAATAGATAGACCTATTTCATTAAAATGACATGAATGTTGTCATTATACCTATTTCATTAAAAGTACCTGTTTTATTAAATTGTTAATTACATATATATAATGCCTATTTCATTAAAATGATAATTACACAATAGATAGACCTATTTCATTAAAATGACATGAATGTTGTCATTATACCTATTTCATTAAAAGTACCTGTTTTATTAAATTGTTAATTACATATATATAATGCCTATTTCATTAAAATGATAATTACACAATAGATAGACCTATTTCATTAAAATGACATGAATGTTGTCATTATACCTATTTCATTAAAAATACCTAATTTATTAAAATAATATGTCTCTTTGTCTTTTTTTTTTTTAAAAAAAGCGGAAAAAATATTGTCATTAATAAATGTACTCTAAAATTCATTCAAATTTCCGAATTTTAAATTAATCCACGTCATTGTTCTTTTAAAATTAATGAATTCCATATTTATTCCTTTTCTTCGTTTTTCATTTCATTTTTACATATTTCAATATTATTCATCAAAAAATTGTGTAAACCATAAAATGAAGGAAAATTTAAGAGTGAAAGGAAATAAAATAAATTGAATTGAATGATTGATTGATAAATCGAACAATTCCCAAATTTCATTCCTTTTATTTCTTTTTTTTTTAAAACAAAAGAAGTGAAATGAAAATAAGGAAAAATTACCCATTACCAATTGTTCCAAATAAAAAAAGGATGAAATATGATATGCTAAAAATTAAACGTATTAATTTTCGACCCATTTCTTCAACATCATTTTCAGCATCTGTAAAAAATATCAATCAACAAATATTTTTCAATTCAATTTTGGTAACTTTTGTTTTTCTATTGCAATCATTTTCTTTTATTTTTAGTATATTGTAATTTTAATATATTTAGTATAGTGTAATTTTAGTGTATTTTAAGTATGGTATATTTTATATTTTAGTATAGCATATTTTAGCATTTTAGTATAACATATTTTATATTTTGGTATTAATGATATTTTTTAAAATATTTTAGCATAGTATATTTTAGTATATTGCAATTTTAGTATTATAGTATATTTTAAATTTCAGTATAGTATACTTCAGTGTTATGTAATTTTAGTATTCCAGTATAGTGTATTTTAGTATTTAAGTGTAGTATTTTATAATTTAGTATAGTATTTTATATTTCAATACAGTATATTTTCGTATATTGTAACTTTAGTATTTCAGTATAGTATATTTTAGCATATTATAATTTTAGTATTTAAGTATAGTATATTTTAGTATTTAAGTATAGTATTATATATTTTAGTATCGTATATTTTATATTTCAGTACAGTATATTTTAGTATATTGTAATTTTAGTATTTCAGTATGGTATATTTTAGCATATTGTAATTTTAGTATTTCAGTATAGTATATTCTAGTATATTGTAATTATAATATTTTAGTATATTGTAAACAAAAATGATGAAAATAATCGTTTAAGAAAATGCGAAAAAAATGATTTCATTTTATCACTTTTATCCTTTTTTGCAAATAATACTGATTAGAAAAACATCATTTTCTCATATTTCTGATTAAAAAATAAATTTTTCCTTAAAAAAAAGCAATTTATAAAATTAACCAATAATAATTCTAAATTTAAAAATAAAAAGTTTTAAATTAAAAAATGATCTTTGTTTTTAAACAATTAATTCATTGCAAATTGTTTCCGATAATATTATCATACATTATTATTTGAAATTGAAGAAAAAAAATGTAATGTTTCTCTTTTGTTTTAAAATTTTTAATTTGTACCAAAAATTATTGAAACATAACATAACTAAAATTTATATAACATTGTATATATATATACTATGTAATTTTTTAGAGGAAAAAAAATAAGTGATATATTTATTATTTAATAAAAATGAAATTTGCGGAATTTTATAAAGAAATGGATTAAAAATTAAACTTACTGATATAATCATTATAATCGTTGAATGTTTCATTAAGCAAGCTATTACTATCAAACTTCGTAGTTTTCGTTATCATTGCTGTTATTGTAGGCGGTGATGATGATGATGATGATGATGATGGCGCTGTTGTCGTTGTTGTTGTTGTTGTTACTGTTGTTATCGTTATTGTTATCCAAATTTTGGTTGGATTTGGATTTATAAACATTATCTGTAAATTTTTGATATAAATTGTGTAAATTCGAAATAAAATATTAATATTTGTTATCGCAATTATTACTAACTTTAATTCGCAAAAATTTTTGTTAAACAATCCTATGTTTGGGTTAGAGTTCATCCTATCGAGAATATTGCTATAGCTATCATAGAAGGAAGAGAAATTAAAAATGGATGAAAGGGCGTAAATTAAAGGTAACAAAGAATATGAATGGTGAAAATAAAGAAATGCAGCAATTTCATCTTCTTTTATCTTAACTAATTTTTCATTTTATCAATTATCCTATTAGTATTACTAAAAAATATTCTACAATGCCAACAAAGAAGGAATAATTAAAAAAAAAACAAAAAATTTAATAAATTCAAAATTTCCTCAAATTTTTCCAAATTTGTAATTATTACTTAAATACCAGCATTAGATATATTAGTCTTCAAACATCAAAAGTATATAGGAAAAAATTTTGCTTAATTTTCATCTAATTTCATTAACTTATTGTTTTTGACTTTGATTTTTGATTTTATCATTGCTTGAAATAAGAAACAAAAATTTTTGCATTAAAATAAAAGTTTCAAAAAAGAAGTTTAAATTTGCTATTGAAATTTTCACTTCTTTCTTACCTTTTAATTCTACAAATAGAATCGATACAATCATAATTGAAATGAAATTTCATTTTAATCAATCAAAATTCATTTTCTAAAAAATATTCCTCAATTTTATTTTGCTAAAAAAGTTTCATATTTTGAAAAAATTAAATCAAAAAAAAAAAAAGATTGTTTACATATTAATAAATATATGTTTACATTATAACAAATATGTGTTTACATAAATAATAAATATATGCTTACATAGTAATAAATATATGTTTATATAAAAATAAATATTTGAATATATTGTGCATAAATTATCATTTTGTTCTTCACTTTTTTGATTCTAACATTTTGACATATTAATTAGCATCAATTAACTTAATGTAAAATAACATACATTTATTAATTACTGACAGTTAGATGATCGAAATATTAGTATTGGATGCTAAGAAAAAAGAACTATTCTTTTTAAATTTTAAGCAATACTATTCTTGTTTTTGCTATTAATTTAAATAAATTAATTTAGGAAGCTAATTAAATTTATTTGCAACCGGCAACATACCTTAATATTTATGCGAAAATTTTATTTCAATTATCCAAAATCATACAGAATTTCTAAAATCATTTTTAACTTACCAATTTTATAAAAAATATTTAAAACGAATTATACCCTTATATTTGTTGAAATGTTGAAAGAAAAATAAACTTTAAAATAAATTCGGCATATTCGGCAGGAACAATAAGTGATAATAAATTCAGCATATTCGGCAGGAACAATAAGTGATAATAAATTCGGCATATTCGGCAGGAACAATAAGTGATAATAAATTCGGCATATTCGGCAGAAATGAGAAGCAATTATCAATTTAGTAAATACGCCAGAAATAATAAATGACAATAAATTCGGAATATTCGGCAGAACAAATAAGTGATAATAAATCGGCAGAAATAGTAAGTGATAATAAATCGGCAGAAATAATAAGTGATAATAAAATCGGAATATTGGGCAGAAAAAATAAGTGATAATAAATCGGCAGAATAAATAAGTGATAATAAATCGGCAGAAATAACAAGTGATAACAAATTCAGAATGTTCGGCAGAATAAGTAAGTAATAATAAATCAGCAGAAATAGTAAGTGATAATAAATCGGCAGAAATAATAAGTGATAATAAATCGGCAGAATAAATAAGTGATAATAAATCGGCAGAAATAGTAAGTGATAATAAATCGGCAGAAATAACAAGTGATAATAAATTCAGAATGTTCGGCAGAAAAAGTAAGTAATAATAAATCAGCAGAAATAGTAAGTGATAATAAACCGGCAGAAATAACAAGTGATATTAAAATCGGAATATTGGGCAGAATAAATAAGTGATAATAAATCGGCAGAATAAATAAGTGATAATAAATCGGCAGAAATA